CTTGGGTTTAACAACAGCATAATGGATGCAGGAAAAGAAAATACCCAATTCTAGCCTGGCACGGTGGCATAGGCCTGTAATCCCAGCAGCTCTGGAGGCTGAGGCAGGAGTATCATGAGTTCAAGGCCAGCCTCAGCAAAAGTGAGGCGCTAAGCAACTCAGACCCTCTCTCAAAATATACCCAACTCTGATACCTATTAGTTATCTTGTCCCAATTAAAAAGAAGAAAAAAATGCTAAGAAACACTCATAAAGTTTACACCTCAGGGATAAAGGCCCACTAAAAGATTTAGTTGTTGGATTACAGAATACATACCCTTCTCCCTAAATCTTGCCACCACCACACCTGGGCTCTGTTAATAGGACTAAATTAATTACCACTAAAGAACTACAAGGCTCAAACTCCACTTAAGAAGGAGGCTCCATCTACTATGGCAATAAAAATGGCATGCTATTGGCACCAAAACAGACCCATGGTACAGAGTAGAAGACACAAAGACAAACCCACATAAACACAGTTATCTCTTACTAGACAAAGGAGCCATAAACACACACTGGAGAAAAGATAGACTCTTCAACAAATGATGCTAGCAAAACTGGAAATCCATATGTAACAAAATGAAATTTGCAAAAAACTCAAAAAGTTGATCAAGGACCTAAGCATTAGACAAGAGTTCCTGAGCCTACTACAAGAAAAAGTAGGTCCAACTCTCCATTATGTCAGCTTAGGAACTAACTTCCTCAACAAGACTCCTAAAGAGCAAGAAGTAAAATCAAGAATAAATAAATGGAATGGTATCAAACTGAAAAGATTTTTCACAGCAAAGGAAACAATCAAGAACGTGAACAGAGAGCCTACAAAATGGGAGAAAATCTTTGTCACCTGCACCTTAAATAGAGCATTAATCTCCAGGATATACAAAGAACACAAAAACTTAACACAAAAAAATCAAATAACCCAATGAATAAATGAGCTAAGGAACTGAACAGGCACTGTCAACAAATACATGAAAAAATGTTCAAAAGCACAAGTATTTAGAGAAGTGTAAAATGTAAAACTACACTGAGATTTCATCTCACTCCAGTCAGAGTGGCAATTATCAAGAATATAAGTAACAATACATATTGTCCAGGATGTGGGGGAAAAAGGTATATTTATACATTGCTGGTGGGACTGCAAATTGGTACAACCACTCTGGAAAGCAGTATGGAGATCACTCAGAAAACTTGGAATGAAACCAACATTTGACTCAACTATCCAACTCCTTGGCATACACCCAAAGGACTTCAAATCAGCATACAACAGTGATGCACCCACATCAATGTTTATACCAGCATACTTCACAATAGCTAAGCTCTGGAACCAACTGGGTACCCTTCAACAAATGAATGGATAAAGAAAATGTGGTATACATTCACAATGGAATATTATTACTCAGACATAAAGAAGAATGAAATTACGGCATTTGCTAATAAATGGATGGAACTAGAGACTGTCATGTTAAATGAAATAAGCCAATTCCCAAAAACCAAAAGTCAAATGTTCTCTCTGATATGCAGATGCTAATACACAACATGGAGGCAAGGGAGAGAAGAACAGAAGTTTACTGGTTCAGATAAAGGTGAATGAGGGAAGGGAGGGAGGGAGGATAGGAATAAAAAAGACAGTAGAATGAATCAGACATAACTTTTCACGTTCATATGTATACATGAACAGTTTAACTCCACATCATGTATAATCAAAAGAATGTAAAGTATACTCCATGTATGTATGTCAAAATACACTCGACTGTTATGTATATCTTAAAAGGAAGGAGGCTCTAAGGAAACTTAAACAAACAGAAGAGATAAAATCAAGAACACTAGAAGAAACTAAAGCTTTCAACAAACAGTAAATATAAAGTCATAGCCACACAAAAATAAAAACTCACACTGAAGGCCTATTTATCTTAGTTCATGTTACACCATACAATATGTTCTATTTTCAACAGAAAATTGTAAGGCATATCAAAAGGAAAAAAAAAAAAATGGTGTGAAGAGACAAAATAAGCATTAGAACCAAACTCAGATACAGCAGAAATATTAGAACGGTTCAACCAGATTTAAAATAACTTTCCTGAATATGGTAAGGGATCTAATCTAACAGGTGAATAATATCCAAGACAAATGGGCAATGCAAACAGATGAAAATACTAATACAGAATTGAAAGGAAATATGAACATATAGGGAATCAGAATAAAGGAACTAGGCAGTGTTAGCACAAAAGGACCAGGCCAGGTGCAAACTTCACAGATCATCAAAAGCCTTTATTCAGGAACACAGAATAAAGCCACTGATGGACCCACTTTCCTGGTGGAAAATAAGCCACTGGCCAAAGGAGGAATCTGGGCTCCAGTATATAGGTTATACTGAGAGGTGACTTAATTAATAAACATGTCAGTTTGGGCACTCAGGAATTTGGTTTTTTGTTGTTGTTTTTACTGGGCAAAGTAGGGTCTGGGGTAAGCGGTCAGCATCTGGGATTTGTTTTTACTGGGCACGACGGAGGGTTGGAGGGTCAGTGGCCAGCATCTAGAAAGGAATTATTTTGGGAGAGATCAATACTTAAGTCTCTTCTCAGGGGCTGTCATTCTAGGTTTGATGGACACCTTCTCCCCAGGACTTGTTTTGTCACTGGGAAAGAATGTATTGTGAAAGGATCAATGCTATCAGTGTATGGCTTTCTTTTTCACTCCTTTTTCCAGGGTCACACTATCTTGGGGTTTGTCACTTCTCATATGTAATAGGCATAAAAATGAAATAAAGGTGTTAAAGAAAGAGCCAGTGGTTATTTTTTCCACAGTGAGAGATTTGTCCAATATTATTAAGCCAATGGGAAGGATCTAATTCAGGAGAAACTGAATTGAGAAAGTGGAAAATTGATAAATGATTTGAGAGATTCTTTACAAGTTCAGGATTAAATCCTAAAAGGAGGAAAAGGAGAAATAATACATCAGGTCAAGCCAACAGGTTGCAAACTTTAGTGTCTTTTTTTAAAATTATATAATATGGCAATACGGCTACCTCAAAAAGATTACATTGCTTCCCATTCTATCCCATCCTTTCTTTAATAATTAATTTATTATTAATTTGTCATTATTTAAGAAATTCCCAAGGGAATTTTCCTAACACTCTCAGCCACTAGAGAGCTGTATGACTTTTAATTCACTTTGAGATTTTCAAACCTAAAGGTGGAAACAAAAACCAGACAAAATGAACAGTAACCAATTACTTAAGTACATCTTTACACATTCCTTTGTTTAATCAATAAATATTTATGAAGCATGTTCTTTAGGCTAAAAGACACATCAGGGAACAAAACAAAAATCTGTCCTCATTGAGTTTAACTACTTGTGAAGGCAAATTAATAAGCAGGTATATAACTATAGGGATAAATTTTATGGAAAAAATAAAGGGTGAGGGATCAAAATGCTGGATGTATTATTTTATGGATGGTGATATCTGGAAAAAAATGAGTTAAAGAGATTATCTTGGAGCATAATATTCCAAAGAATGGTAAATGTAGACAAGCACAAATACGAATAACGTGCCTGATGTGTTGTGTAACAAAGCATGCTGAGAGTAAATTACCCAAATAGCACCCTGTAAGAATGTGAGCATTTACTCTAGTAAAATATGAAAAAACTTGAGGAAGGTGTTCAGTAGACGAATCACAATGATAACTTTATGGAGGGTGCTGGGAAAAAGATTAGGCACCATAATGTAACAATGAGTTATATGATACTGCTAGTCTCAATTTATTTTGCAGGTAAAAATCATTGATTTATTGGGGTATAAGAGAGACGTCCAAGGTACTCCAGAGTTTTTCACCTCAGAAACTGCCAAGTGGAATTCACCATTTACTAAAATGGGAAAAACTTGCAAAAGAAGGATTTGGGTTTTGAATATAAATTTTGAGATGTCTTATAATTTCTAAGTGCAGATGTTTCCTTTTTCTTGGGAGGTCTTGGATAGAGCTAAAACTTGTGAATTACCCTTATCAGTGATTTTAAAAGGAATAAGGCAGTAGTGAAGAGAACAGGTTAAGGAATGACCCAGCAACACTCTTGATGTTCAGTTATGGGACAGGTGAGCAGATCCCAGTTAAGTATTTTAAAAGAAGAAGTAGCCATGAACCAGGGGAATATCTAGGGAAGGGYGAAAACAAAATGAAGTATTTCAAAACTCAAGAAGTGATCAATTAGATCAGAGCTGCTAATGGGTCAGTTAAGAACAAAAGTGTAAACTGGCTACTGTGTTTGGCTGGATGGCTATTGTTGACTTTCACAAAAAGGCCTTTTTTGGTGGAGTGGTAGGATGGACAAAAGCCTGAGTACCATATTCAAAGGCGAACAGAAGGTTCTCTTCCAAGAACTTTCAACAAGTTGCGATGAAAAAAAGATCAATTGCGCTGAAGAAGATTGGAGAAAGGGATGTTGAAGGTTTGTGAAGAGAGAACAAAAGTGATCTGGAAGTGCCAGAGAGATAAATAAACTGGGGAACTTCAGTGGAATTTAGTGAGGAGCCCAAAGGAACCGTTTCAAGTTACAAGCGAGATAAGTCAGCAGAATTTTAAGGCAGGGTAGTTAAAAAACAAAATCATCTAGTATCAAGCATAGCAATGTTTGATCTGAGGTTCCAGAAGCTGATGAACCTGAGCATGTGAGCACAGCATAGAAGCATCAAACCAGAATGTAGATGGGCGGGGGGGGGGGGGCGCCCCCAAACTCGAAGTACTAGGAGGACAAGTGGTCCTAAACAAAACCAGGTCTTCTCAGAGCAAGCAGAGCACTATTGGTTTTTAAAAGGCTGCTCCAGGCGAGAGAAGGAACCACTGCCGCCTGGGAGGGCTGCTGACCAGATGCAGTAAAATGACCCCTTTCCAAATCTAGGGAGAGTATCTAGAAGGGCTMCCTCGGCTGCCCACGGGAATTGAATACGATTTTCGCGCCGGAACTTACGGCGAGAGGTTTGGCTGCTTGCGGCTGTTTGTCGGAGAAACGGGCATGGTGGCGACGGGTTTGGGAGTTGTCGACCACCCCTTTCCAGGCTGCTTCTGGAGTCCCCTGTTCCCCAACCCGGGGCGTTAGCGGGTAGCGCCGAGGCTCAGAAATGTTTGCCGGGCGCCATGGAGACGGTGGAGCCCTGGCTCAACAAGCGGCCGCGCGGTTGGCTGGCGGCTCGAGGCCGAGGAGGAGGGCGGAGGCGGAGGGGAGGGCAGAGGGTTGGTGGAGCAGGAGGAAGCTCCGGACGACGACTGGAAGGAGGAGGCGGGCGGCCCGGGCCCCAGGCCCCTCCCAGGCTCTGAGTCTCCCGGCTGCAGGCGGATGGATGGGGCTTCTTCAGGCGGTGGTGGCAGCAGCGAAGGTGGCGGCGGCGGCAGCGGCAGCGGCTGTAAGTGCAGCCTCTATACACCATCTCTCCCCTCTCACTCCTCTTGGGATGAGGGGCTCCTGAGGTGTCCTCAGTCCCCTTTCTCTCCCTCCCCTCCCCCACTGCAGAGTACCGCCCGGAAGACTCTTAACTTCCGGGGAGGGGCTGCCAGAGAACGCGCCTGGTCGCGGGCCGAGCGGAGGCGCCAGCCACCGGAGGCGCATGCGCAACTCCCTGCCTCCGCCCACCCCCTCCGCGCCCGATCTTTCTGCTTCGCGGTGGCGGCAGCGCGGGTCTCCCTGGCGTCCACGGCGCGCTGGGAATCCGCTGCGGAGTGAGTTCGCCTCGCCCCGGTTGCTCCAGCCCCTTTTACCAGTCGGTCCTCGATCCTGGTCGGGGTGGGGTCAAATGATCACTCCCCTGTGGCTCCACCCCTTTCCCCTGTGTTTCCCCAAATGTGTCCGGCCCTGGGAGGCTCCCTCCGAAACACTGCAGCCCTTGTGGAAGCGGGGTTCTGGGCCAACCTGCCCTTTCTAAGGGAGCAGAGGAGGGAAGAGACTGCAAAGATGGGATTGCCGTAAGGGAGCTAGGCGTGCTTGCTTCCTTTGGTGATGTTTCAGCTTATAACGGAGAGGTCCTGACCTGGAGCGCATCTCTGGTCCTTGCATGCTGTGTGACCTTGGGCGAGTCGCTATCCTTCTCTGGGCTTCAATTTTCCCCATTTAGCGCTCCTCCCCAAAACGCTAAAACTGTAATTTTGCAGGAAATCTTATCGCAATTTTATGACCAGTCTAAGGCCGCTTAGCACACACGACCCCGAGTTGACCGAACCTTCTTTCTTAACTCGTAGGTGAAATACGGCGACCTATTTATTGGGTTACTTTTATTCCTTTACTGTTGGTTACAAATTGCATTAATTTTTTCCCAAAATTGTACTGGGATACTTGACCTAGTTCCCAGTAATGTTTTTAAAAATTTGAGACAGAATGGTGATCTTGGGATAAAAATTGTTTCTGACTCTTTGCTACTGAGGCTCTCTTTCCTTTAATCCAGATGGTGTGGTGGCTCGATTCTCCCAGTGCCTGGCTGAGTTTCGGACGTGGTTAAGAACCAACTGGTTGAGGTTCAATGCAGACAAGACGGATGTGATGCTGGTAGGCAAGGGCACACTTGGAGATGAAGGGAGGGAAAAATCCAAACTCCCTCAAATATTATAAATATTACATTACTTTTCTGTATGTTCCAGTGTTTGAGAACTACTAACAGGCCAATAATTTCCAGAATTTGAGTGAGATACTTAACATCAGCGATGTATAAAATCTTAACATGTTAGTTTGTAATATACTGATGAAATAGGGCCACTGGATAAAGCCACTAGATAAGAATTATGAAAAGAAAACCAGAACTGTTCTCTGAAGAACCAAAGGCTATATAAGTGTTTGGGGTGTTAATAATAAAAAAACTAACAAAAGTATGATGCTTATTGYTGCATAGATATGGGCTTCCAAATGTAATACATTACTGCTTTTGCAACCTGCATTCTGCCTACTAATGTGAAGGTAAATCTAAAATGTTATTTAAGAAAACGAGTTTTAATAGTTTACAAAACAATCTCAAAAGGACTTGGACCCTGAAAATTATTAGATACAGAATTTGGTTTTAGGATTTTCGATGTGTTGTGTTCACCTATTTCAGTATATCAGCCCCGGAGTTAAAATTGTCACTAGTCTTTCCTTGGTGCATTTTGAGAGCTTCCTTTTTGACTTGCATGAACATGTTCCCATAGTATAGGTGTATACATTTCTTGTATTTGAATCAGGAGTTGGTCCTGAATAAAAGGTTATATTTCTTAGGCATAAAATTGTCAGATGAGTTTTTTTTTTATGGGTTAGTTTAAGGTTGAGGTAAATTTGTGACCCTAAATGCATCTGTCAGTAGCAACATAATATCTTTAACGGGTTCATGTGTGTTTGTGTGTATGTATGCATTTTATAGTTTCTGAAATTGTTGAATAACTTTTGAATGGAGGATTCAGTAAGTTGCTCAAAAATATTTCCCAATATAATAATAATTGTGAGTAGCTAATGTAGAAAATTAGTATTAGTTTGCTTAAAAACAAGGAGAGAATAAGAGCAAAAGAGGCATTTATTTAGACTTTCTGTAGGGATTTTTTTGTTTGGGGATATAARCCATAATACTCACATAAATTTGGAATTAGTCACAATTTTTTGACTTGTACAGTTCTAACAGAGCTGCCATTTTGGCTGGAATTAATAATATACAGTACAATAATTTTGAACAAGTCATAGTTAACAATGATTTTTCTCACGCTTTTAGCTTTATTATGTCCTGTTTGTAGCTCTCTTAATAGCAATAGGATTTAAAGATATAGTTTTGTTAAATTAAATCAATGACTGTTGGCATTTGAATACAAAAAAGATATCTGTTGAATTAATACAAAGTACCAAAGAACTAAGGGTAATAGATGAAAATGACTAAGTCAGATTCTGGCTTAATAAACAGAAGAATGTTTCAAAATTTGAGCTTTTTTTGAAAACAGCAGTCACTTTATGAGATATGGTGAATCACAGGAAGTGTTTAAACATAAGCAGAAAAGCCTGGTAGTAGAAGCATTCTGAGGAATTCCTATGCCAAAGTATAAAGAAATTGACTAAAAACCTATAAAGTCCCATCCAACACTAAGATTGTATGACCAGTGAATAGTTAGTTCTTATGTATTTTATACTTAAGAGGTTAAGCAAGAGTTTTGAGAAAGATTTTTTTTCCTTAAAGAAGCTCTGTAAAGAATAAAATGAGTGAAAGTAACTGAATTCCATAGTGACGTGTTACCTATAACTTAGAGTACTAGAACTTTTTCTCCTTCCTTTAGATTGACTAAACCTACATTTATAGGAAAAAAAATGTGGAGGGAATTTTTTTTCCTAAATAACAATGCCATTTAAAGTTAATAGCATTGATAAAGAATTATTAAACTTAAAAGTTGTTTAATAGCAAGATAAATATCCATTTAAAAATGTCTTAGACCCAATTTCCTAACTTCCAGTATTCATTTCAGTMCTTAACAGGACCTGATCCCTTGTTCTTTATTCCAATTGGGATTTTTGTATATGGTTGAACTGAAGAATCAAAGAATTAATGGACTAAAGCAAGCAAGTTATTTCTGTGCCTTGTATTTTAATAATGCTTTAGTCTTTCCCTTGATAGCCAGCTCAATTTCATATATTAACTTTCATGTTTTAATGGAAAACTTTCCCTAAACTTTCTGGTATATAAAACCTAAGTTTCTTCTACCTCTAGGCCTTTTGTTGTTTTTATCTGTACCCACCTCAGGGCCAGGCACATACATTGTTTTTTGCCTTTAGCTTTTTTCATCAAGTGTATCAAGAAAACGGTTTATTAACTGACATTTCTAAAAAGTCATTTTACTTTCAGACCAAAATAAAAAAATTCAACAGGGTAACTCATAGAAACTATATATCTGTGCTAAAATATTTATTCTCTCAAAAGAATCCTCAAAAAAACACTTTTATATATTTTCTTAAAGATAAATGGAAATACTGTACAGTACAGTTAATGGTAAAAATTGTTTGTAGACTTGGGAACTTTAAAGTTTTCCTTTCTCTTCTTTCCCTTGCTTTTCTTTCAGTAGAAAATGTGCATCAGATGTTTATGTTTAATTGGTTTACAGACTGTCTGTGGACTCTTTTCCTGTCAAATTACCAGGTAATGTCCTTTCACTTAGCAGCTACTTCATATACCTGTAAATGCAGTTTATTCATGCACAAATTATTGGACATAAGAGTTTCAAGTTAACATTGTCTTTGGAAATATTTAGGAAAATGCTTGATAGAGCCTAGAATTTTAAGGGAACACAAATAATTTTTAAAACAGTGTCCCCCATATTGCATTGTAAACGTTTAAAAAATTGTGTATGTACACATTTATGCAATATATTATAGTCTCACATTATTTAGAAGAAATGAATAATTTTCATTTAATTATTTGATTTTTGGTACTAACTTTTGTTGAAACTGCATTAAGAATCCTTAAAGATGGGGGGTGGACAAAAAAGTGTCTTTTGAATAAGTCTTTTTAAATTCCTGGTTTAGTAAAGTATTAGTGTCCACTTTAATAGTGCCTTGGTATTGGCTAGTATCTACTTTAGTAATGGAAGTGAAACAAGTTTGTTACTTTGAAATCATTGGCTCTGGCAGTCATCAGTATTGGTATCAAGGCCAACTGGCAGCTCTAGGCCAATACATTAAAACTTTCAAATCGCAGGCATTGCAAACAAGTAGGTTCTTCCATGCAGTCAAGTAGATTATTTATGTCAATCAAAGAATGACTTCTCATTATTTTACATTTAAAATTTTTGTTTAGGTGTGCAAAAATTCAACCATTGATGTATGTTGCTACTGGCGTCATACAGTGTGTGAGGAAAAACAAATGAAATTTGAGGATGGCAGACTACCTAACAATCCCTTTTCTTAATCTTTGCTCTGCCCCTTCTAAATTGAGGCAGGATCTCAAGTTCAAAGCTGGCCTCAGCAAAAGGGAGGCCCTAAGCAACTCAGTGAGACCCTGTCTCTAAATAAAATACAGAATAGGTCTGGGTATGTGGCTCAGTGGTCCAGTGCCCCTGAATTATTCAATCCCCGGTACCAAAAAAAAAAAAAAAAAAAA